CTTAAATCGTTTGATTAAACGATATTTTAGATCGTTCCATCAAACGATGCTTAAATCGTTTGATGGAATGATATTTTGGATCGTTTCAATCGAACGATTTGTTTATCATTCGATGGAAGATATTTTAGATTGTTTTAATCGAATGATTCATTTATTGTATAATGGAACGATATTTTGATCATTCCATCAAACGATGCTTAAATCATTCAATTGGAATGATATTTTGGATCGTTCCACCAAACGATGCTTAAATCGTTCAATGGAATGATATTTTGATTGTTCTAATCGAACGATGCTTAAATCGTTTGATGGAACAATATTTTGGATAGTTCCAATCGAACGATTCATTTATCGTTCGATGGAATGATATTTTGATCATTTCATCAAATGATGCTTAAATCGTTCGATTGGAATGATATTTTAGATCGTTCCATCAAATGATGCTTAAATCGTTCGATGGAACGATATTTTGGATCATTATAATCGAACGATTTATTTATCATTCGATGAAATGATATTTTGATCATTCCATCAAACAATGCTTAAATCGTTCGATTGGAACGATATTTTGGATCGTTCCAATCGAACGATTCATTTATCATTCGATGGAATGATATTTTGATCATTCCATCAAACAATGCTTAATCATTCAATTGGAACGATATTTTGGATCGTTCTATCAAATGATGCTTAAATCATTTGATGAAAAAATATTTTTCCAATCAAATAAATGTTGCAACCAATTAACAAATTAATACATGTTGCAACAAATTAATAAATTTTTTCAAATGTTGCAACTATGTTGCAACATATGTTATAACAATCGTATGTTGCAACATATTCATAAAGGCTACCATCTTTAATTATACCATTTTCATTTTGTTCTTGCAGCACTGGTTTGATTATTTTATTGCTTGACTTTATCATATTGATACCTGTTTTATTTTTGATTTATTAACTAGAAAATTTTGTAAGAATTTTTGCTGAGACTGAATCATAAAATTTACTTTTATTGCTAGACTATTGAAATATTGTCTTGAATATATTCAATAAGTAAAGTAATTTCATTTTGATGATTCTTCAATATTTTTTATTGATTCTTTCCTTTTTTTATTGCCTTGAGATTTTGTTTTTAATGAACTAGCATTATTATAATTATTATTATTAAACTTTTAATTAAATAAAAAATTATATGTTAAAACATACTGCATTTTAAAAATAATTAAAAAATAAAATTTATTCATACTTTCAAATTAGGTTGGTTTTGAATTTCGCGAGGTTGAAAGGTTGAGTTAGTTGAGGTTATTGTAGTTGTTAAGGTGGTTGAGGCTGTTGTAGTTATTGATAAGGTTGAGAAGAATGAGAAATAATATATGGATATGGTGTCATTGAAGAAGAACTTAAAGGTGAAGTAAGGTAAAAGTACTTGGATTTTTAGGAGGATAATTTGTGGAAATGTATTATTATAATGTAAAAATTCATGTTCAATATATTTGCTTGCTGATATTTTGGAAGTAAAGGTGGCAAATTATTTTGTTGCTTTTGTTGCTTTTGATTATTAGTTGGATATTCCATTAGTACTTGACTTGTAAATTATTACGAGAATTTTTTAAAAAATATGGTGAACATACATAAATTTAATTGGCTGGTGCATCCGAAGCAAATTTGGTGCTAAATTTTAGCCAATCATTTTACATGAAACTTACGCCAAACATTGCAATCAATCGGTCTTGAAAGGTTACCGGAACCCATTTTTAATATTAAAGCTCCCAAATGATCAAGAAAAGATAATTTTCTTAGCATATAAATATTAACTATTAATGTCTAACTCCAGTGATTTATTTATATGACCAATAGAATTTCATCACTAAAAAATTCTCTAAAGTCAGTGACAAAATATATTATGGGTTACTAGAAATGATTTTAGATGTAACAAACGAAAAACGACTGGATGTATTCAAACTTTGCATACTTTCCAAGATGACATGAATGTTCAGTAGATTGAAATTAACTCCTCCAATTGGAGCGAAAAAGGATAATTGACACTATTTTTTTGAATAATTATAAATTTCACACATACAATCGTTAAACAAAAATATTTCGGTCAGAATTAATTTCGAATTTTATGATATCTTATAGTTAGGCATTTTTGCAGGTGACCATTTTCGGAATATACAACGTATTCTTTTAATGTTCTCAAGTTCATAAATACAGTACAAATACAATTTACGCTTATCCTCTCTAATTATTCAAGAAGCTGAGCACTATTGAAAAAAGTACCATTATTGTTAAATAGTAATATTCAAATATATATTTTTTTTGACAACTCAAAAACTGACGTTAAAACAAGCTAAATAATTTTTTATTTCTATGGTTTTTTTCACTGTTTTACAAATCAATAATGGGCTGTATCAATTTCTTTATTACTGAGATATTCGAACCCTTTGGAAATTTCTAACAAGATTTAAGTAAATGACGACATATCAAAAGCATCGCAAATTTATATTTATTTGATAAATATTATACATCAAGTAGAAGCTAAGTATTAAAAGTTTACATTATTGAATACTAAAAGAACCAAAAAGACCAAAGTGACCAAAGTTTTAAATTTAATAAATGCTTCTACTTTCGAAAAAAGTTTTTGTACAATATATACAGAGAAATATTATATGACAATAGGCAAAATCGTAGACTAAAAACCACAAACGTGCAAGATTAATTACGTTTCCTCGCGTAACAGGAAGCACCAAATAACTAACGAACAAGTTATTAGTAGAGTTACAAATAAGTTAAATATATTTCTTCTGACGGTAGACTTACTTTTTTAAAAAAATTTTGAAATGGCAAGTCCTTAGCTACATCGCAGTTTATTTTTATTTGTTTTTTTCTCACAAGAAAGCTTCAACAAAGATCTCGTGTAAAACTTTTATTTGTAATAACATACTTTTAGATGTACGATTGATTGATTTTGTTTTCATAATTGTGAATAGCTTTTTATTTTTGTTTTTAAACTTAATAAATTTTGGAAAATTAAAATCTGAATATTTGAGAATTAAAAATTTTCTCGTTCGACATGATTACATTTTTTTTTATTTTGATTTAAGATAAAAAAAGTATTGGCAAAAAATTTTCTTGCAATTAACTTTCTTAAATACAAAGACGGATAATAAGTTCTTTATAATGCAAGCTGAATGTAAATAACGGAACAATCCGATTGTTTCATTCTAAAAGCTCGCTATGCAATATTTCCAGTTTGTTAAGATTATAAGAGCAAAGTCAATTAAAACAATCTATTTTTTTTTTTTAAAAAAAAAAACAATATAATATACACGAATATTGTATGGAGGAATATCCTATTGCTATTTGCCAATTCATTGTATAATATTCGATTATATTTTTGGTTGGTCTCATGAAAGAAAGAAAATACATATGCTATTGTATTTCGGAATTTTTAACGCCGCGGACATGTTATAAATTTTATAAAAAACATTATGATGTGAAGAATAAATTCTCAGTCGACGAGTAAAGTAGGATCGACTTTTTGACTTGTTTTCGGTAGACCAATTATGATTTTCTCTTCAAGCTCGGTCGTTGTATCGAAGTACGCATTTTATTCCAGCAGTGTCTTTTCTTTTTTTTAAAAAAAAAATAAACCTTATTAAAATTGTTATTTACACTTTTATTTTGCTTTTTACTTCATTAAAAAAAATATCACTATGCGTTTAACTTTTGAATTATTTAGCGTAATTACTTAACGTTAATTATCATATAAAATTTAACATTAATATTATGCACTTGTCGCGTTGATGAAATTCTATATATACTAACCCATTAAAATTAGGGATTCTAATGGTCACGGTCATGACCGTCACGAACAGTCATGACCGGGCTAAATGGTTAAACAAGTGATGACCTAAAATGGTCTTAAATGACTAAATGACAAATGATCTAGTCATTAAAGAAATTATTATATCATGTGATCTTATAATTCTGGTTAATATTACTTAATTTTTCGATTAAATTTGGCCAATACAGTAATGACAAATGACCCAATCAAGTGACTCGTTCATTTGCCATCACTGGTCATAAACGGTCCTTGCCAGTTCTAGAGAAGATTTTTATTTACTAGCGTTATATTTTACTTTCTAATGATTAATTGAATATTTAAATTTTAAACCTTATGCGGGAATCCAGAACATTAATTTTTGAAACTTAGGACCCGGTCCTACTACCTCTGCGGTCCCATGAAAATTGTCGATTTCAAATTTCATATTTCTTGTTATTCATAAAATTTATTATAATTATTTTTTATCAAGAGTTACTTATTATATAAGCGATATGACTCGTAATTTTTAAATTTGTTCACAATCATTTGAGACCGTTTAAAATTTTTCAAAAAATTAACTGCAATGATCTAAATATTATTATATCAAGATAATTAAAAAAATTTAAACTTTTTACTATTAAAATCATATGATTTACTAGCAAACTGTCTTCTACTAAATAATTGATGCAAATTGTTTTGTTGTGTATTAGATTATTTTTTGGCTTATTGGAAATCGCATTAAGTGACAAACCCTAATCCAACAATGATCTGATGTCTGATTTATTACAATGAACGAGAACGATACGATATGAATGGTAGTGAAGAAAATCAATCCTATTATATTGAATAACAGATTGGTATTTCGATAATTACATTCTTTGTAAATGAATATGATACATTCTAACAATTTTTTACCAGGAAAATGATTTTGGGAAATTTTGAAATTTTTTATTGCATTTTTGAAATTTTGCTATTGAATTTCTTAAATATATTAAAAAATAAATATACAGTATTTCAATAAACATTTAGAGGATAAATCTTAATATCATATTATAATAGTCGAAGAAATGTTTGTGTAACAATGCGAGTGATATTATAATTAATTAATGATCAAATATATTAAATTATCTAAAATTCTTATGCTCTTAAATTGTCCTTTCCTATTAATGTTAAATTACTCATATTTAAGAATTTTTATTATGTCTACATCTGTTTCTGATAATTCAGAACTCATCTTTCGTTTATTATGACAAGGTTTTTCATTAGAAATTTTTGGAGCTAACTTTGACCTATTTTTACTAAGAATTTCTTTAACCTCTGACTTATATCGAAATTTTGAATTATTCTAAAAAATTAAAAAAACAATTCAAATTATTTAAATTGAATGTAATGTTACTTTGACCAAAATTTATTAAATTAGAAAAAAAATTTACATTGTAGTTCTGTTTAATATTTTTCCACTTAATCGCACACTGATCGGCAGCATAAATGTGGTTATTTTCGTGTAGCTTAGCGGAAGCACCGTTCCAGAGATCCAATCTAACTTCACCAGCTATAGAACCACGACTCTCCAGCCGTAGAACCTTTTCTTTATTTGCTTTCAAGTAGTCTAGTAAATATTTAGTGGCTTCTTCTTTCCATTTACATGGAGGTGCTTTATTTTTCTTTGATATGTTAGCTTCTTTACAACTTTGGGATCTTTCACTTTCACTGGGATTGCCGTTAATTTCTATTATTATTGAATAAAAAAAAGAATAATCAGTGATGCAAGTGGGTTTATTACATATAAATCGCAAATCGCTTGGTTAATTACCTTGAAATTCTTCTATTTTTTGGCAACAATATTCTTGTTTAACACTATGAGCGTATATATCTTTATTATTTTGATTAAATGTAGATTGCTTGTAGATTTCATCTGGATTTACATAAATATATACGTTCTGAACATTCTGTGTCAGATGAAAAATATTATGATTATCAGTATAACTGTGAAATTGTGTAAAGTTTTGAGTTGAAAACATATTGATGAATTTTCTTGCTTTGATTTTGACATTTTAGTTTTTTTTCACCACTTATTTATAATTTTTTTTTAATTTGAATTCCTTTCTAATTCACTTTTCCTATTACTTTTAAGGAAACGTTATAGAAAGTTTCTAAGAATTCTTTTACAGATTCGGATGTGACCCATTTAGGAAATATGATGATCTACTCGGAAACTTCTTATGTCGTGTGCACCATGTACACATTATATTTCAATACATGTTACTTTTTTTGTGACCTGTGAAAGAGAAAAATGAAACCATAGAACAATTTCTTAATCTAAGGTGAGTACTGGAAACATGATGTTAGTGAATATCAATCAAGCCAATACTATTCAAATGAAACCTTTTATGATCGTCAATAGAAATGGCAAATAAATAATAAATTATTAAGATGAAGCGTTTCTATTAAGAACCATTGATTTCAATTTTACATAAAATCGCCTTAATTAATCATGTTCAATCCAATAAATTCATTTCCAAAATTTGGCGAACCTAATCATATATGAATAGTTTCACATTTAAAATATATACAATGTAGAGAATAAGAATTTGTACAGAATTATGGCAGTTGCATTTGTTTTTAGTTTCATAGAATAAATTTTATTTAGACAATTGAAACTGGAAATCTTCAATGACTTTCAACTAAAGCTAGATTAATCGTTTTAGGTAAGAAAACAATAGGAATTTATTTCTATTTGAGACACAACATAAAAGTAAAAATATTAAGAAATTCATTCCGGCCGGAAAACCATGTACGGTAAATCAAGCCATTTAAGTACGAGTGTGACATGAAGTGTAAATCATCCCCCCTTTTTAAATCACCCAATAATTAGTTTTTTAATATAATTAGAATTGAACTCTTTATAAATTTAAAAATGAAATTTATCCTAAAAAATAGCCCTGTTCATTCTAGACCAATGAAGTGCTCTAGGAAGATTGGAAGCACGATTGGAAGGTTTGGAAATATCATTTTCTAATAAAACATTTTGGATTGGAAGATTCCAATCAAAATTTTATACAATTGGAAGCATAATATAGATCGACTGTAAGCACGAGATCGATAAAAGGAATATGACGACACTGGCGACAACCAGGAACTCGTTTTATATTGAAAATTTGAATCTTCATATTAAAAATTAGTGGTGGTGATATTATGGTTTTTCAGTCAAAGAATTTAGTCCTTTGGTAAAATAGAAGGAACTATTAATATATAAATTTTAGATATTAATCTGTTATTAAAGTATGACTAATTCACATTTTAAGGGTGCTTTCCTAGTTTTGCTAAGCTAAAGATGTTAAAGCATGGGGTTTCTGGCCTACTCATCTTTGAATTAAATCCTATTAAGTATTTGTGTTTTGATCTTATTAAAAATCTTGTAAATTTATAGGTGCAACTAAAGAAGAATTGGAGAAACATCACAAGAAATTAATTGATTGAATAGAAGCATGTATCGCCAATAGTGGTAACCGTACCAAATATTAGTAAAAATATTTTGTTAAAATAAAAAAATATTTATATATTTTTAAAAATCATGAATCAGATACTAGTATTTTATTAAACTTATATTAAAAAATTGCGCAAATTTTTTCCATCGAGTGTACATTTTAACAATATAATACAAGCATCTGTAACTTTACTTTGGATTTCAGAAAAATATCTATTTTTAATGAATGTTTTGTGGAAAAATCTTCTAGCTTATAAAAGACAAATATCACATAAAATATTAAATCTTGAAAGGTTTCGCAAAGATGCAAAAGATTATATATAGAGTTTTGTTTTTCTTACAGCAGATTTTTTATTACAATTTGCTTCAATGATATAATAATTCAAATTAAAGTTAAGTTATTAACCTGGAGCGTAGCGAAGGACTATTAATATATCACATATGGGTGGTATGCTATTTAAAATTGAGGTACGAGACATAGTAAATCATATGATCCGTACCTCAATTTTAATAGCACACCACCCATATAATGTCCGTCTGCTTATTGGAATTTATAACTGTTTTGAAACCGTTCCCTAGTATAATTAAAATTTTGTGATTATGATCAAATGTTCAATTTTATTAGATACTGAAAATTCTCAGAACTTTTAAAATTTTTAATTATGTATACATGGTCGTCAATGATATAATTACTAAAATAATTTTCTTTGATATAATTTTGCGTTGAACATTTGAAATTTGTGTTCGTCACATTGAGCATTTATTTTTTGTAATTATCACATTTTCATTTTAACGCTAAATAAAAAAGTACGATTTTGCATTCCGGATGTAATACTATCATTGTTTAGAGTCGTGATTGTTATTTTATTTTGAAATTGCGATACCAATCATTATTTTATCGAATCCAATATGATGTATATCTAATTTTAATTTTGATGTATCGTACAATGAAGGTCGGAGTTTTTTTTCCTCATTTTGCAGATTCCAAAATGCATTATTAAAAATGGGTCGATCGTTATGATCGTTACACGAGTTCTCATTTGATAATTTATTAAAAAAAAAATAGTGGAATTAATTCCTTTTTGAAAGATATTTAGATAAAAAGTGAATTGGATTGATGCAAAATTTTTTTGAAATATTTCTATTATAATTTAAAACCAACCATTTCTGATTATTTCAAAAATTATGCAAATTAATTACAATGCAATATTTTGAGATAAGATGATTTATATCGTTATGAAATTAAATATAAAAATTAAATATAAAAAGACGCGAAATTGTTATTTTTTCATATTCTTCACTATGAATTCAATTACGATGAATTCAACTCAGCTTCAAATACAAATTGAAATTCAAGTTCAAACAGAACTTAACAATTACCGGTATATTGATTGCAACAACGTGATCAACATTTTATCAAATTTAAAAATCGTCCCCAATATGTTTCAAGTATTAAATCCACTTATTACTTTATTAAATATGAGTGGCATCAATCTTAATGTTCAAACGATGATTCAAAAAACACATAACTCAACTAACTCAACTTCGTCAGACCAGGAGTTCTTTTACAGCAATGATGTTCACATTTTTCATATCACTTGTATCACTTGTGAAGAAAACTTTCCAAATATCAATGCACGTCAAAACCAAATGAATTATAAAGTAACTTGTAAAACCATTCCGATTTCTTTGGTTGCTAATAATCTGTTAAAAAGACCTTATACCATTGATTTTTCTGAACCCTACAAGGAATACGCGGTCAATTACAACAAAAATGAAGATAAGGACACTAGTTGTCGAATTGTAGTTGATAAATTTGATCCAAGTAAATAACGCGGTGTTATTATTTGTTAATCCGACTTGCTTTCTATTTAACTTTATTTATATTTCTTTCAGATTCAAATACAGGAAAATTTAACGCTACTCTTATTGAAAGTGAAAGTTCCCAATCTGATGAGAGTGAAACTAAAATCACTAGGGAGTATAAAGAAGTTCCATGTAAATGGAATGAAGATGCTACTAAATCATTGCTAGCATACCTGAAAACCAATAAAGAAGAGGTTATACAACTGGAAAGTCGTGGTATTATAGCTAGGGAAGTTAGAGAGACGCTCTGGGATAATATCTCCACTACTCTGCGCAAAGGTGGCTACATTTATTCTGCCGAGCAATGTGCGATTAAGTGGAAAAATCTTAAACAGAATTTCAAAAAGAAAAACAAGCAGAATTACAATGTAAATTTATTGTCTTAATTAAAAATTTATAATCGTACTTTAATAAAATAATGAAGTATTTTTTTTTTTAATTTAGAATAATTCAAAACTTCGGTATAATTCAGAAATTGAAGACATTCTTAAAGATAGGCGCTTATCTACATTCTCTGATGAAAAAACAACTGGTTATTATAAACGAAAGATTAGTGCTGAATCATCTGAACGACCAAAAAAAGTCAGTAAAACCGATGTTAAATTATCAATTCGTCAAAGGAAAGAACATAAAGGAAAAAGAAGGATGCTTGAAATAAAGGATTTAATAAGCCAATAATAAATATTATATTTAACTATAAATAAATTCAAATAACAAATTCTTTTTTTTTAAGGCAAACATCTGAAATTAACTTTCACATTAACCCTACTCAATTTCGATTTTATGTTTATTCCTTTGACTTATTCCATGAAAAATTAGTAAATATGATATTTATATGAATTTATCCATAATAAATATTGAATATGTTATGCTTTATATGCTTTAATTAAGTTCATGTAGATCATTATTATATAATATTGGCCAAATCGATGTTATATAAATCATTATTAAATAAGAGTAAATTTTATAATATAAATTTTTGCGTTAAATTTCATTTTATAATTATCCATCAAAATTGTTATTTGTTCGTTTTTATTAACATTAACTTCCCCTTTTAATCATATTTCTTTTTTTATAATAAAAGCTTTTTTGTAAGATCACTTTAAAAGTTAGTATAAAATTAGATTTTGAGATAATAAATAAGAGAAAATTTATTTCTTAAGTTTAAAAATAAAATAAAAATTTGATAATCATTTATAATATTATAATAGAAAGGAGGAAAAAAATAAAAAAATGAGTTAACGTTAAACTGAATATATTTCTACCTAAAAATCAATTTTTGGTATTTGGGTACATGATTTTATAAGGTTGCCTGGACGGAATTTATTTGTCGATTATGTTAGGTTAAAGTTTAGAATTAGTTTTAGATTAGTATAGGATTAGGGTAAGGTTTTTTCTGGAGTTTTTATGGAAAATCATATCCTAATAGTGTATGTGGTACCCGCAAAATAAATTCCGACTTCGATAGGGTTGTTTGTTTAATGTGTATTAACCTTAATCACAGACATCTGTGACAAATAAATTGTAACAGATATGATCCAAATTTAATAATTAAAAAATGAAAACACGGGCATTTCAAATCCAATGAAAATAAATCACATTTATGCTGGGGAAGAACTATATTGTTAAGATCAAAATATATTCTTGAATTATATTAAATTTCTTTGATTATAAAATTTAATTATTTATTATAAGAATATTAAAAATAATATTTTTTATATTTGCAACTAATAAAATTAGATTAGTTGAACATTGTAAAGTTTTTTATTTTTTTGTATTAATATATTTTATAAATGTATTTAAAAAGTGTTATGTACTTTAAAAGGAAAATATTGAATACATAATTAAAAATTCAAAGCACACGGTCGAATCCTAATCTTTCCACATATGGTTTTTTTTTAAAAAACGAAAAATAAGAAAATCAATTTAGAAAAAATACTTACATTTAACAAAATTTTAGCAAATAACTATAATTTCTTTGTAAATAGATAAGTGAATAAGATGCATTCATTATATAATCTAATCGTTTAATTTGAGTATAATATTTTAGGTTTTTCTGGTTAAATTTTATACATCATTTAAAGATTAAAAATTTGAATTGGAAATGAGCCATTTGATTAATCAACACATAGATTTACGTAAACAAGTTTAGTAAATAAATTCAAATATACAAATAGCGTCCTTATGCTTAAGATTTTTTTTTGTTTGTAAGAAATTAAAGGCTTAGGCCGTTCTCAAGCACCACCTCAATGTGATTGGCTAGTGATTAACAAGCTTTACTTACGATCAATTGAAAAAAAGATGGCTCTTTCATCCTTACTCGTTTTATCAATTTTTATTATTATGCCTCAAAAAAAGAAACCTAAAATAACTTCTACTGTAGAACCTTAACTCCAACTACTCACATCTCTCCTTTTCCAACCTAACAAATAATGTATCATTGCAACAACAATATTTTGCTAGACAACTTTTAACGGATCCTTTAAATGAAACAGCAAGACATTCGGTAAATAATTATTCTTTTATAATTATATATGAAAGATAATAAACTCGAACGTAGTGTAAAGATGGAATGGGAAGTGAAAGAGTATGCATGAGCAATCTCTTTTTATACTCCATCAATGATAAATTTTTGCCAATTAGCGCAACCATTGAGGGAGGTACTTGATAAAACTCACTTAACACCTATCCGCAATCAATGTCGAAACCGTTAATCCTTTCCTTTCAATTTATGAAGTTATAAATAATGTAAAATATTCTGTTGTGACATAGTTGAATGTAATTTCGCTTATTCTTAATGAAACGAAATGTAATGTATTATAAAATCCTTAATATTATTTCTTTAGGATAAAAAATATATATATAGTAATCGAAAATATAAAGGATAATCGTAGATGTAAACTTTATAAAGACCTAAGTCATGTTGCTTATTATTTCATTTAGCGAAAAGTTTGTAGTAGTGAAGGCTTTTTTTTCTAAACTTTGCATTATATTTTGAAAATTTATTTTATTAATTGAAAGTATTGAAAGTATTCACTAACTTTTCTCTACTGCATCAATTGCAGATAATTGCAAAGCATCCCTAGTCGAAATATCTCTTATAATGGTAATGGTCTTTATTTTCATATAACCAATAAGATGTAAAATAAAATATTGCTATTTATATTTAAAATTGAATTTAAGCGTTTATATGTATATCAAATTATCACAACATATTAGAAATTAAGGGTATGGTTTTGAATGTATGTATAGTATAATTCTTGTTTTTAGGTAAGTATGGTACAGGCTTACTATATACTGCAGAAATTAATCGTGTTTGCATTATACAAAAAATCAAATAAAGACATGTAATCGACGATTAATGTTGTGGAACGCTACTCAATTTTCAAGTTCTCAAATTCATTTCGAATTTTTTTTATTTTTTTAATAGGTTCATGTGTAACATCTAATTTAAATCTGTAATTAATAACAATTTGTTGATTGTGTAATCTATTTATAAATAATTAAGTTGCCTATTGTTTATTTTTTGGCTTATTTTTGCACCTCCTTTACATATTTATGTTGCAAACAATTACTAAATTAGTCAAATGATTATTTAAATGACCTTATTGTTCGGTACTTTTTTCTCCTAAAACATCTCTTTTTTTCTTTTTGAAAAAAAAAAATTACAAAAGACAAGAAAAATGAGTTCTATATCACAAATATTAAAGAATAAATGTCTATGGTTCTTCATAGCGTTTATTATTTTAACCGACTTGTTGTATACAGTGTACTTTAATTTAAGCGATGAAGATTTAAATACTATTGAGACTATTGATCAATATAGTATGAATATTCAACAAAGACCCGAAGATGGATTCATTATGGATACTGACCGAGTTATGCAAGAATGCAATATGAGGGCTCGTTCAGTGGAATCGTGTTTAAAATATCTCGATAAAAAAGATGATGATTATATGATTACGTTTCCGTTATCCTCAAAGAATTCAATAATCCCTCCGCAATGTAAGGAAAATGAACCTCCGATGCTATTTCATGTATTTTGGCGTGGGATGATAACTGATAAGTTAGCATTGCAAATTAAAAGTTTCCTTTACACGCAACCCCTCACATGTTCAAAATTATATGTGTGGTTACAAAACAGCGATACTGACATTAATTTGAACCCTTTTGCGGGGAATTTATATAAAAAATTCTCACCTCGAAACGTTGAATTCAGAAGGTGGGATACCGAAGAACAATTAAATTTTGATGATTTATTTAAAGGTTGGAAAGCAATCATGGAAAAACATAGTTCTGTCGCTTTTAGTGATTTGGTTAGATTTGTCGTATTAAATAGATATGGTGGTATGTACATGGATGGTGATGTACTCTTCTTACGTGATATGCGTCCTTTATATCACTCGGGATTGGATTTTTCATACAAGTGGAGCTTCAAAAACGAGTACAATACCGCCGTATTAAGACTTCATGCAAATGGTACAACAAGTCGAAAGATTATTTCACAAGCAATGTTAAACAAAATGAATTTCCACCCCTTTCAGATTAGGAACTACTTGATGGTCAATGCGAGTATTCCTTCGGATTCACACTTAGCAAAATCCATATACAATTCACAATTATATATGTACTCCGTGCCTTTATTTGATCCTCTTTGGTTAAAAAATGATAACAAACAAAAGAATATTTTGAAACCTAATCTTAGAGGGATGGATGATGTTTGGGATCCTAATTTAGTCCCGAATGAATTTCCTGAGATTGGAAATTTAAGTTTGTATTCTCCTTTGGAATTAAGAAAAGCTGATGAATTCTTTAGAGGGGCTTTCGCCTATCATTGGCATAATAATTGGTCTAAAAATTTAAACCCTAATTGTTGGATGGGTGTCATGCAAACTGCTTATGACTCTTTTCTTAACGGCACTCAAACAAATATTTATGGTGAATACGTAAAATACTAATTGGGATGGGCTGGCGATAGATTAATCATTTTTGTATTATGTAGTATTTTTTTTATTAATAATTCAAATGTACAAAGTTTATAATTTCTTTAAAAATTTTAATAATTTTGAAGCGGGGATTTTAATTTTGTCTTGGGGATTTTTTTTTCGAATGTTAAGCAATTTTGAAATTTATAACCACGTGATATACACGTGATACCCTGATTTAAATCATTTGATTTCTTACAATTGTCATTAATACTGTATATTAGATAGTAGGATTATAACAAATTACAAATCAAAGTTTTCCTTTTTGGTCAGATGTAAAAGCCCAATAATTACTAATAATAGAAGGAACATAATTTGGAGGGTAAATGTGCATTTTTTTTCTAGTATAAATAATTATATTTTGTTTTTTTTTAAAAAAAATATAAGAAAAAATTTCAAGAAAGAATAGAATGAATTTGTATCGAATAAGTTCATTATAATAAATTATTTGAAGAAGTTGAATGGCTTCCATTTTTTTGGCATGATGTGTTTCCTCTAGAGATACCTGACTAAACTCTTTTTTGAAAAATTGTAATTTCGTCAAAAGTTTCGTCTCTTTAATATTTTTATAT